GAAGACGATGCTTTTAGGGCAGGAGTGAAGGTCCAATTGCTGAAATACAAAAGAAAATCACATTAGATCTCATCAATATCGCAAATGTTTCTCTTAGATGCCACTGATATTAAAAAGAGAGCACATTTTGCATATTTGTTGAAGTCTCCAACTTCTCAGACTAATCCTAAAACTATTAAAAAACATTTTTGTTCATTTTAAAGCTAAAAAATATTACATGAAAAACCTAAACTAAACATAAATTAGAAAATATAATTAATGTAAATGATTAACAAAGGGAATAAACTTAAAAATACATAAATAAATAGATAAAAATTCTAATACAAATGACAAAAGCATATACATTTTATAAAAATTAAAACAAAAACTGAAAGTTTGTAATGGTATTAAATTATGCAACAAACATTTCAATTGTTTAAATGTTTAAATCAAATAAAACTAAATACTCAAACCTAAATTAAACATAAATTAGAAAATTAGTTAATGAAAATTATATATATTTAAAAAAAAAAATGGAAATAAACTGACATAAGTTTCAGTTGAAGCGCTATAATTACTAACAGGAAATAAAGTAGTTATTTAGAAAATAGTTACATTAAAAACTAATAAAAATGACAAAATTGTTTTAACTAAAATTAAAACAAAAACAGAACATATAAAAAGAAAGTTTGTAATGGTATTAAATTATGCAACAAACATTTCAAATGTTTAAATAAAATAAAAACTAAAACTAAACACTCAAACCTAAATTAAACATAAATTAGAAAATTAGTTAATGAAAATTATATATTTAAAACAAAATGGAAATAATAATGATACTATATAACTATAATTACTAACGGGAAATAAAGTAGTTATTTAGCAAATAGTTACATTAAAAACTAATAAAAATGACAACAAATTTAACTAAAATTCAAACAAAAACAGAAAATATAAAAATTACATTTGTAACATTATAAATCTCCAATGTTCACTTGACCACATTATGTGCATGTTCAAAAAGAGAGAAAAATTAGACTCTTTGCTAAAGTCTCGAACTTCTCAGATGCTTCTCCTGAGAAAACGACCTCAACGATCTCAGAAGAGATCTCATCCTTGCCTCAAACTGGCCTAGAGATCCGCGATCTCAACACAAACTCAAACATTTCTTATCAAACTCCCAGAAGTGTGAGCATCAGAAGAGCATCTTCTACTAAAGAGCTTCTTGAATTCAGAATCAGGGTAAACCTCAAAGGAAGTAAAGCGGGTGAAGAGTGTAAAACTGTCTCTCACAATCTCGGCTTCTGGGCCTCCGAAGTCCAGGAACATCATGCGGACGCCGTCATCTGAAGACATGCGCAGACGCTCGAAGGGCTGCTGGAGAAGGACGGTTCTCCTGACGCCGGCCTCCTCCGTGAACAGAGAGAAGCCCTTGTCTATGTGAACGCTCAACATACACGACTTCCCGTTCCAGCTGCACGCTACACAAAACACACAACACACAGAGAGCACATCTTCCTTTACTGAACTTCTTCACTCAAATAAAATAGAAGCATTAGGTAAGAAAAACAGACTAAATGGAAAGTAGAACTGACGTAAGTTTAAGTTGAAGCATTAAAATTACAAATTGGAAATAAATAAAAACTAGAACTGAAATAAAATTAGAAAAACAGACTAAATGGAAAGTAGAACTGACGTAAGTTTAAGTTGAAGCATTCAAATTACAAATTGGAAATAAATAAAAACTAGAACTGAAATAAAATTAATTAATCTTGAATTGTAACATTTGGAAAAAAAGACAAAAGCACACAATAAAATTCTAGTGCTGTCAAACGATTAATCGCATCGCAAATTAAAAGCTTTTGTTTACATAACATATGTATGTGTACTGTGTTTATTTATTATGTATATATAAATACACACAGTATATATTTTGAAAATATTTACATACGTGTAAACATTTATATTCTATAAATATATTTAATATACAAATATAACATTTTTCAGATATATATACATGCATGTGTTTGTATATATATACATAATAAATACACACAGTACACTCACATATATTATGTAAACAAAAACTTTTATTTTGGATGCGATTAATCATTTGACAGCATTAAAAATTACTAATAAAATTACTACTGAAATTAAAATAAAAACAAAAATATGAAAAAGCTCATTCGAAATTTATATCACTATAGATGTTTTAATTTATTTTAATGACTTTGCATAGTATGGAATCCTTTAAATTAAAATAAAATTAATTATAAATTAAATTATAATTTAAAGTAATTTTATTACTTTTAGTTTTTATTTAGCACTAAACTAAATAAAAACTCAAACAAATTAGCATAAACTAAAACAACTTTTTACTTTTTATTATCTATCTATCTATCTATCTATCTATCTATCTATCTATCTATCATATATATAACACACACACATACCACAATTAAATTGCTAAAATGTCCTAAAAAATTAAGATAAGAGCTATATATAAGAGCTATTATTATAATATAATACAATATAATATAATATAATATAATATAATATAATATAATATAATATCATATAATATAATAATACAAGCTGAAGCATTAAAATTACTGAGTAGAAATATATAAAAATTAAAACTGAAATAAAAATATATTAAACCTATGCTATCATATATATAACACACACACATACCACAATTAAATTGCTAAAATGTCCTAAAAAATTAAGATAAGAGCTATATATAAGAGCTATTATTATAATATAATACAATATAATATAATATAATATAATATAATATAA